AAAAGATTACTTTTACTTTGCCTCATTTAGAGGTCTCAATCCACAAAAAAAGTAGCCATTGAATTCATCAGAACAACTTATGCTTAAAGCTAAGTATGTGCTTAAGTACCTTCCTGGATCAGAGAATAAATACAAGAAATTCATTTGTTCAACTTCTCTTATATCTAAATTTTAAAACATTAGAAAATGATCATAAAATTTATTAGGGCATTCATATACTTACATATTTCACTGACTAAAATGTTTGAAACATCAGCAATTTAGAAAAGCTTTCACTTGCACTGCCCTGCCCCTTTGTTAAAGTACTTAGAAAAGCAGCATTTATTTAAAAGTAATTTTGATTCTGGTAAACCATTTTAATATAAGTGTAAGAAATATATAAGTGCAATTCATAATAGAGCAAAATGTTCCTCTGTGATAACATGTTACAAACACCCAAGTTCCATAGTAAACCTTTGTAGATGAGTATTAAATATACAGCCTATAACCTTGCTTAAATCAAAGATGAATTTATACTGACTATATCCTAATGCCCAGTATAAATTACTTACCACATGAGAGAGAATTTGAAACTGAGATAATTATGACATAGCTCATCTGTAAAACATTTCATGTGCATATTTGAATGAACTGTACAATGCAATGTTGGAATATAAAGACCATTGAAATCCTGGGACTAATTTCAGCAAAACTTAGAATGTGCTCTCTTTATGAAGATGAGAGAAGGCAGGCAGCTGCAGTTTTGTTTTTATTGGTGTCAGCTCTATGAATTTCAATGCTTTCTTGGACAGACTATGGGTGGAAAGGATCAGAAAAAAGTTCTGGGCCTGCTATCACTCATGTAAAACTCCCATGATTTGCAGCGGGAGTTTCGCTTGTGTGAAGACTGTAGGGTTGGGGTTATACCTTCGCTGGTGTTCTATCCCTTTTTAAACACTGTTCAGATCATTTAACTATTTGGCTATTAGTAGAGCTGCAATATTAATCTCTAAGGCACAATATTATTTAGGAAAGTAAAAGAGAAATGTAACATATTTTAGTCTGATCTGGTTGAGATTGTAGGATGTTAAAAGTGGCAACGTTTTAAATATCACGCCTAACAGAGTACATACTTCCCTTGTGAAGTATTCCCCCAAGAAAAGCTTTGTAATCATTCTAATACTTGTTTTTAAATAACAAAGTGCTACATGACATATTTCTGTGGTGAAAGACAAGAAGAGAAAACACAGCTCCCATTAACACTTTATGGTGAAAGCAGCAACGGGAGTTTTCTTTGAAGCGAGTATACCCTAATATGACATTTTAATCCTATCCTTTTTTATTGTTTATATGCTGGTTTTTGCAATGTTATTAGGAAGTCTACATAGTGTTTTATATGTTTTTTGAGTGAATAACTTCTTAGCATTCATTTTTTTCTGACATGGAGAGCTTTGAACAGTCACCTGTATGTAAAGTATAATAAATGGCAATTATGAATGTTTCCTACATTTCAAATTATAATTATTTGACTGAACTCATGTTCAAAAGAATTAACAATGCTAGTGAATGGAATAATAATTTTCTTTTTAACCCCTGAGGTTATGCTAAAGCAATTTTGCAGTCTTTTTATGAGGAAATATATATTCCCTGAGCTTTTCAAGAGCACTGAAACAAGCGCGGTATGTTTTTGGTCAGATTTTTTATGCTTTAAGAACAATCAGATATTCTTGAAAAAGATTTTAGAACCAATACATTTTTTCTGGGCTATCTGTAGTCCTTTAACCTTTCAGAAGAAAATATCTGAACTCTAGGCTACTTTCTATTTAATTCGGTATTCTTTTAAGAAAGGCAGCATTATCATCTAATAGTTAGAGCAAGCATCTTGGAGTCAAGGGACCTGTATTTTATTCTGAATTCTGCCAGTGACTGTGTGAATGCTCTCATTCATCTTACTTGTTTAATTTTTGCCAACAGTAAAATGAGGATAATAATATTTAATCACTTTTGTGAAGTGCTTTGAGATCCTTTGATATTAGGTGTTCTTTAATAACTGTAGGCTGTAAAATGTATTACTACATATAAAGGAGTCAAGGACAGATTATCAAAAATACTTAAGCAACTAAAGATGCAGTTTGGTGCCTAATGGGACATTATAGGGGTGCTGATTTTTCTTAGGACACTATTGAATATTGCATGTACACTAAAGAGAGACAATTTTTTTTCTACACCGATCCCAGAATGCTCAAGTAGCTGATCTAGGAAGTATCTGAGCCTTTAGCTATCCTCTTTGAAAAGTCATGGAAGTTGGGAGAAATACCAGAAGACTTGAAAAGAGCAAATATAGTGCCCATCTATAAAAAGGGAAATAAGAACAACTCAGGAAACTACAGACCAGTTGGTTTAACTTCTGTGCCAGGGAAGATAATGGTGCAAGTAATTAGGGATTTATTCTGCAAATATCTGGAAGATAATAAGGCAATAGGTAACAGTCAGCATGGATTTGTAAAGAACAAATCATGTCAACCCAATCTGATAGCTTGCTTTGATAGGATAACAAGTTTTGTGGATAAAGGACAAGTGGTGGATGTGGTATACCTAAACTTTAGTAAAGCATTTAATATGGTCTCACATGACCTTCTTATCAATAAACTAGGGAAATACAACCTAGATGGGGCAACTATAAGGTGGGTGCATAACTGGCTGTGTAACCATTCTCAGAGAGTAATTAACAGTTCATGATCATGCTGAATGGGAATAACAAGTGGGGTTCTGCAGAAGTCTGTTTTGGGACCGGTTCTGTTCAGTATCTTAAGTAATGATTTAGATAATTGCATAGAGAGTGCACTTATTAAGTTTGCAGATGATACCATGCTGGGAGGGGTTACAAGTGCTTTGCAGGTTAGGGTCATAATTCAAAAGGATCTGGACAAACTAGAGAAATCGTTTGAGGTAAATAGGATGAAGTTTAATAAGGGCAAATGCAAAGTACTCCACTTATGAAGGAATATTCCTTTTCACACATACAGAATGCGAAGAGACTATCTAGGAAGGAGTACTGTAGAAAGGGATCTAGGGGTTATAGTGGACCACAAGCTAAATATGAGTCAACACTTGCAAAAAAAAGCAAGCATGATTCTTGGATGCATTAACAGGAGTGTTGTGAGCAAGTCATGAGAAGTCATTCTTCTGCTCTCCTCTGCACTGTTTAGACCTCAGTTGGAGTGTTGTGTCTGGTTCTGGGCACCACATTTCAAGAAAGATGTGGAGAAATTGGAGAAGGTCTGGAGAAGAGCAACACTAATGATTAAAGGTCTAGAAAACATGACCTGTGAGGGAAGACTGAAAGAATTAGGCTTGTTTAGTTTAGAAGAGAGAAGACTGAGAAGGGACATGATAGCAATTGTCCAGTATCTAAAAGGATGTTACAAGGAAGAGGGAGAAAAATTGTTCTCCTTGGCCTCTGATGATAAGATAAGAAGCAATGGGCTTAAATCATAGCATGCGAAGTTTAGTTCGGAAAAATTTTGTAATGATCAGGGTGGTTAAACACCACATTAAAAAGCCAAGGAAGGTTGTGAAATCTCCATCACTGGAGATATTTAAGAGCAGGTTGGATAGACATCTAGCAGGGATCATCTAGACAGTGCTTAGTTCTGCTGTGGGAACAGGGGACTGGACTTGATGATCTCTCAAGGTGCCTTCCATTTACAGTATTCTACGAATCTATGATTCTGTGAATACAATATGAAAATGTTCCTCTCTTGTTAATTTTACATCTCATTGTAGCAGTGTATTTTGAGTTTCATATCACATCCATTTTTATATTTGGTAATACAGTATGAAATATGCTTATGATTTCATCTTCAATATGTTTGTGAAAACAAATACAAATTGAAGAAGATATTACGGAAGAGTGAAAATATGATTAGAAGCAGTCCATACCATGGATCCTAGAGAAAAAATGAATGAATGAAGTTTCCTTTGAATTTCCAAAACAGTTTTGATTTTATTTTGTTTTGTTTTCTATAATGCATGGTAGTGAAGTTTATGGAATCCTTGCATGGTCATCAAGGCTACAAGAACTGCAGCCTTGGCCCCTGCATATCAGCCAGACTAGCATAAGGAACCATAGGGAACACCACTCCAGTGCAAAAGGATTCTGTAAAATGGAGCAGACACAGAAGGAGCCAGATTGCAGGGCAGATGAATCCATTCACCACTGAAGGGATGTTGAACTGAAATGGGCATGCAACATATGGAATCCCTAAATCTTTTAGTCATGTAATTTCTGACATTTTCTTCAAAATCGTAACTGTTTTAAAATGGAGATATTAATAATATCTTCCCAAATGCATACAAGCTTTTAATTTTAATGATTTAGTAAACCATTTTGAAAATTGTTCATAACATGTTACCATTGGTAACCTCATCAGGAGTCTTGAAATCCACTAACCAACAATATTTTAAATTAGACACACTCATTTTACCTCATTCCTTTTACTCCACCATGTGCTTACTTTCACAGGATTAACACAAATATCTGTAGGTCAAATATCCATAGATGGCCTTTCTGCCACCTTTCACTTCAGAACACAGCAGGGTTCTGCTGTAATGTAGAATTCCACAGCAGTTAAATTTTAGCTATCCCCCTGGCCTGTCAGCAGTGAATGAATATTTTTTTTCTGGCATGCAACAGAGTTGGATTATTGAGTTATGTGACCAGTCTAAAAAAAGAGAATTGCCATAGCTTTGGTGCTCGCTTTTCAGTTCTTTTATTTTAGCTGTAAAGAGCATACCATTTTACTAACTTCTGATTTATGCTTCCTACTGGGTTGTGTCCTTAGTATCTTGATTTCTTAAGCAAAATAAATCTGGTTTAATATCTGACCATGTGGACATCTGAAATTTAATGACTGGGGTATTTTTCCAAGTAGGTTTCACCAGCATTCTCCCCCATGAATCACTTGAAATAACCATGTAAAATATTTTAATACCTCGGTTTCATTTATAATTTGTACCAGCTGTAGGTATCCAGATGAAACTTGAATTTTTCCAGCGGAAGTTTTGGACTGCCAGCAGACAGGTAAGCACCAATTAGATACTTTTTATGTAGATGAGACCAAAGCAACTCTCTTATTGTACAGGTGATGATAGTCTAGGTATATTTAGTGAAGGCAGGTCCAAGATTCCCTATGAATATTTATAAGCTATTTTAATTTACTCTTCAATTCCTTGTAACCCAGAAGAGTGATCCTGAGTACACGTGCATGAACACAGAACCTCCCAAAATCTAGGCTCCCTAAGTATCACCTTCAGATCCACAAGCAATTATCCTGAGGATACTTTCAATTAAAAAAGGGACATGAAAAATATGAATGATGTGACCCATCAATCCCATGTAGTGAATTAAGGCAAGGGTAGGGTATCCTTCTAACATGTTGGCACAGCTTACCTATATCATGGGTTACAATTCAAAGGAAAGAGTAGCTTCCATGGGGCTGCTACTCCATTCCACAACAGCTGATCAGGGAATGGATGGAGGCTTGAGTCCATTGACCCTCATGTACCTGTTAGCACAGCTGCTATAGAGGGAGAAATAAACTGTGTCAGGTAAAGGCCTTTTACAGATTTAGTCCCTCTTGGAGGAAAAGGGAAAGCAACGACCAAATTTGTGTGACTAGGTCACGATTTGGTTTCTAGTCTCTCTTGGGATGGCACAATTATGCCCGCTTTTAATGGGCTTCTGATATTTCTAGACTCTAGCCTTAAGTGACCTGAAGTAAGAGCTAGGTACTAACTTTGTCCAGTGAACCATTTTTGGCTGGTTTATTTTTTTTTAATAAACAAGAGTCTGTGTATAAAATGTGTATTTATTTAACAGAATACTCTCTTCCAGTTTTAAAGGGATCAGGAGATTATTACATTACCAGTTTGAGAATACATTGAAATGTACTGTTTCTGAGAATAATTATCTCTTAAGTATTCTGTGAAATATGGGCTCAGTATTACAAACCTGACTCTCACAATATCCCTACTGAAGTCCCAATGGAGTCTTGCCAACAGAAGGCCCTGTATCTTTAGAGAGTCAGCAGCAAAGATTAGAACAGGCAGAAGAAATTGACACAGCATGAATTAACCCTCTTGATGCAGATGTTGTCATAATAAGTTCGAGGAATTAATGTAACCTGCTTTTGTGGTCTCTTCTAGATAAATTATTGTCATTTATTACATGTTTCTTTATCATTTTTAAAACACCAGTTCAGACAACCACCAGAATAAAAAAGAAAAAAAATGATATAAACTGTATATCCTATTGGTCTCCCCTGCAGTGTGCATCTCTTGATGGAAGATGTTCTATAAGCTGTGATGATGAAGTAAGTATTTTACAGACTTTTTCTCATCTTATATCTCCGTTTAGTTTTTAGTATGGCAGCTTCATCTGAGGTAAGGCAGTGGACTTCATGAGGTCAGTGTGGAAATGATAAAAAGCTGTTCAGAGATTTCCTTGTACCCATGTACTGTTCATCTTAAAACACAGACACGCCCCTGATATATGCCACAGAATAAGAAATTAATGTTGCTTTCATTAAAGGAATATTTTACATAATAAATTCCTTATTATCTGGAGATTTTACCACTTGATAATATTTATATACATTAAAACTGAAAATTATCATTGGAAACATTCATTAAGCACAAAACTATACTAGAACTGTTGCCCTGTGTGTGCATGTATCCTTTCGACAGTAAAGTTTCTTGAAATTATGCTTTGTTTGATATATCACCAATCTGAGTCATAGTGCTTGTCACAGAGTGACTGGCCTCTTTAAGGAGGAGCACAGCAAGTGAACCTGTGATGGATCAGCAGGCCCCAATTAGGTTTGTAAAAGGATACCTGGAGCTAGAGAGAGAGAAACCCGGGGAGAGGGAGAACTTAAATATGACAAAAAGCAAGAGGAAGTTGAAGTTCCCTGGAAGGAGAGGCAGTGGGAAACTGCGAGGAAGAAAGGGCCTCCAAGGAGAAGCTGTTGCATGATAATGCTCAGTGAACAGAACATGGAAGATTTCTGCAGAAAGGATGGAGAGATAATGGGCGAGGGGGAGCAAGGAAATCCCTGGGACCTATAGACCCAGGTTGTGCTGAGCTTTTGCTACTTTCTGCCTAAGTTTGAAAATCATAACTGCTGGAACCTACATAACTGCCACTCTGTGTAGCAGTGGGTCATTTGTGAGCTGGAAAGTAGTCAGTTTATTACAGTGTTGTATAAATAATTAACAATAATAGTTAAACTTAGTATTCCACAATATTTCCTGTGGTATAAATTTAAGTTGGGCCTTCACTGGGAACTGCCAATTCAAATCTCCCTCCCCCCTAAGAATAATGTAAGTTATCCAAAGAAGGGCCAGCCAGGTGTGTTTGAACAGTGCTTTGAAACATATGCAATATTAAGATGGACATTCAATTCAGGCTTGTGAAAAAACAACAACAATATTTTCATTTGGAACTAGACATTTTTTGAAATTAATTTGCAAACAGTTTACGATGTCTGACAATAATTCTGGCAAGCCCAGTTCTGGGATTCTACCCAGCATTCCCAACATAGTTTGACATTCAGAACATTTTGAACAGATGTTTTACTGAAAAAACAGCCAAGACCCAGGTATAGTGATACTACTTTTTAAATGTGTGGTAGTTCCACAGGGGTTTGAAACCACAGAAACTATCCTGGAAACAGAATTTAAAATTCCAGCAGTAATTGTAAGAATGGAGCATGGCAACTTCTTCAGCATATCAAATTAGTAACTCATTACAGCAAACTACAATGCATTTCCAAGCACTAAATAGTAGAGCTGATTGGCAAACGACAATTCAATTTCATGGCAGCTGTCATGGTTTCTGCATTTAGTTTTGTTCTGCTTTGGATTGAAACCAAAACTTTGGAATGTTTTTGCAAAAATGGAATTGTGTTGAAAAGTCAATTTTCAAACCAAGACCTGAGATTTTCAATGCAGGAGGGATAACATGTCTTGGTAACTAGACATGGACTTGGGATGTGGAAGTCCCAGCTTCAAGAATGTTACTTAGACTATAGATTTTTTTTAAATCACACTCTGAAAGAAGCAGAATAGGGATGAATGTGGGTCTCCTACATTCCAGGGCAGTACCCTAACCACCAGGCTGTGGAGTGTGAGACAATCTCTCCCCTTACCCACCTTTTCTCCTGACAACTTCATTAGCACCAATACACCTCTGCAAAACATTTCAACTTAACAATCTATTTTGATGAAATTTCATTTTCTTGAAAATGTTCCAACTTGTTCCAATTATTAATGAATTCACCAAATAGAGGCTTAAGAGGCAGCACTAAAGAAAAACAAATATTAGCAGGCAGACAAATCTCTGAAGTTCATCTGTTTTCCCCTCTAGTTAAATACCTGCTAATACAGGCAGTCTTTACTATTGCTCTGGCAATCAGCTGTGGAAAGGCCAGTAATTATCCTGAACCCTGGAAATGTCCATGTACTCTAATGTGCCTTTTTTGTCTCTCTCTTTAGAGACCTATGACTCCTTCCTTTGAAGCTTGCATCCTCCTTTTTTATTTTTTAACCTTTGGAAAAAAAGGTTCTTTTCAACTATCAATTTAAAAATACACCCTCTCCCAAAAGACTTTGATTTCATGCTAAGGCAGCCATAGCCATCCTCTTTCCTATATCTGTTTCCATGCTGTCATTTGCATTTTAGTCCGTTTTAATTAGGGCTTAGTCAGGTCACAGCCTCTTCCCCTAAAATGTGATCTGGCTCCCAATACAAAACATAAGCTTTGTAGAATTGTTAATGGACATTTCCCAGCCTTGCTCCACTAAAGTTAGTTTTGTTGCTGCCTGATGTGGACTTAATGGACAAGCTTTACTTTGGATCCCCTCCAACAGCCTTTAAATATTCCTATCATTGGGGTTCCAGTTACATCCAAGTGATCTGTGTAGGGTTAAAGCGCTACGTGGAATCTCCTTACTATTTAGCTCAAGCCATCGGATGGTGGAAAATCCAGAGTGAGTGGAGGTGATTGCCTTTCTTGTGGCCGTCCTAGTGATGGTAACAGTACTGGCATATATTTTCTTATATACAGGCAGTCCCCGGGTTACATGGATCCGACTTACATCGGATCCCTACTTACAAACGGGGTGAGGTAACCTTGCACTATCTGCTTCCCCCCAGCAGACCAGGGAGTCGCGAAGCTAGCGTCCCCCCCCCCCCCCCCCCCAGCCCACGAGAATAAAGGACTGAGGGAAGTGAGGTGTGGGAGAATAAAACTGAGCTCTGGAGAAATGTTTGGCTAGAGTTTCCCCTACAATATGTATCAGTTCCGACTTACATACAAATTCAACTTAAGAACAAACCTACAGTCCCTATCTTGTACGTAACCCAGGGACTGCCTGTATAGCAGCTGCGATGATATATAACTTTTTGTCAAAGCAAGTCTTTTAATAAATCACAAAGTATTCCATCAATTGCTATACTGGAGAAAGGAAGCAGATTTGTAAAAAACAAACACTTACTTTCTCCCCTCTATCAAATGTTATAAGTCACAGATTGCCTCGATGCCCCTGACTGTCCTGCTCTCAATGGCAGGCAGACATCTGCCAAACAGTTTTTACTTATTAGTGAGCAGCAGCTAAAACCCAGCTAAGAAGGGAGGACATTTTATGGCAAACCTTGTTGCACAGTGAGCATGAGATGAACAAGTTGGTGAGTTTTGTACTTTGCTTTTAATAGCTCTGATGGCATGCCACTCATGCAGTTAAACAGAAATTTCATTTTCTTTGGGGGTGAGGGGTGGCCATGAATTTGTTAAACTGTAATTTTCATAAGAGTTGTGAGTTGTGGTATGTGCTAATCTGTATTACATTCCATGACAGTTAATAGAATTGTATGCTGGAGCTCTGCAAAATACTCAGATCTTGAAATCACTCTAGAGTAATCTAGATTTAGGTGCCGGTCAGATACATTCTCAAGCCTCAGCCCACATTCTTGCTAGATTTATTCTGGATGTCATACCTGCTCCCTTTTTACAAGGCCAAGGACTGTGTGCATAGGGGGTGTTCCCCTTCATGTCTGAAGTTTATTGAACTTGAATTTTTTCAGAAATGTTTAAAAATGTCATGCTGGTGCACTGGACAAGTAAATACCTCCAACTGTCTTTTGCCAATGCTGTAATTAATTGCAAAATCTTTCCTGGATTTCTTGTTATATGGAGAAGGCTATTATGGCAAGTGAAAGAAAGGTGAATTCACTCCTGTATGTGCAGTGTTGTCCTCCATGGAATAGTTAGATGGGCCCAACAGATTAACAAAATCCCAGATATAAATCCTTTCTCTGACTGCTTTGTTGTGGATCCAATGCTTTGTAGATTGTCTGCAAGTCCAAATATTGAGTATGTTTTGGATACCCACTGTCTTCCTCTGCACTCTGACTGCTTTTATTGCTGGATCAGTGGGCAACATTGCTGGAATGGATCCATGAGAGTCTCCACATAGCTCGTGTTCCAGGTTAAATTCTTGGAGTTGAGAAAGACAGACCAATCAGCATCATTGCACACCAGCTGGCCAATGGCTGACAAAGATCCTAAACAGTGGAGGAACTCCCCAATATCCCCCATCAAGTGTCTCCTTTTGTTGATGAGGCTGTCTCTCTTCACCAGCCTAATCAACTTCTCCCAGCCATCGAGGTGTGTGGGCCTCATGTTGATTCAGCCCTGCATTCACCAGCACTGAATTTGCATACTCTATGTTGACACCCTCATTCAGTGGTTATACTCGGGGAGAGTAGCTTTAGGGTGGAATTTTTGAAACTGCTCCATATTGTCCTACCTTAGCTTCCATTAAGGTTAATAGGAGTCTCATTCTCTTACTCATATTTGCAACCATCCATGAATTGCAGCAACTTAATAGCTCCTGGCCTCCCAAACAGGCCATGAGCTATATCTGCAGCACAAGCCAGGCAGGATACCCAATCCTAGCTTTGGCAGTTAGGGTGGGACTTCTGAAACGGAGCTGCAAGAGACCACATCAATCCCAGTTCCATCATCAAAGCAAACACATGGTATCTGTGTTGTGGATGAGCAAAACTGGTTGGAGAAATAGCCTCATCAAACTTTGGCACATTTCTTAGAAACAATCTGGAAACGGACATTTCTGCAAAGTTGATATTTCGGTAGGAAGGTTTTCACTGCCAGCACTTGACCAGAATCCAAAGTGTCAAAATACAATATGAAAGACAACACAACATTCTCACAATATTTCCAGCCTGGGCCAGAAGGTTAAGGCAATTTAGATAACCTTTAAATATTTGTTTAAAAGCATTTGCTTATCTGAACTGAACCTCCAAGCAGAGAGAGAGAGAGTGTGTGTGATCTTTTTCTTCCTTGTTGTCCTGGGTAAGAGCTGCTTCTTCTGTAATAGTGTAACAGCTCTGAATCAATGGCCACAGCATATATCTTGTGAAGAAGTCTGTGGGCCTGATCATGAAGTCTTTACTCAGGCAAAACTCCCACTGAAGATAGGATAGCAGTCTCAGGCTCTGTATTTAGCTGCTTTCACTTACCAAATTGATTTCTTGGGTTGTTGCTTTACAGCGCAGAACACCTTTTATTCCTGGCTACATCTGACCTATTTATGGTTAAAAAAGGAAGACTTTGGATTAAGAGCTAATCCATGAAATGTACTATGTTGGGAGTGAGCATGAACTTTTTAATGTAAATTTCACAGTGTAAAGAACAGTATTTTGCCGAGTTAGGCCTAGAGTAAAGATATGTTACAAATAGTGTGTTGAGATAGGTACCTGAAATAGTAATAAAGAAGGTTTTGATTAAACCTTGAATTTAAATTCAGTAGAGCAGTAATTATAACTTAGTATCAAATCATTCACTTGAGGTAAAAATACTGTGGAGGCAGCAATGATTAGAGTTTACCTTGCTTTATGCAATTTATAAGTATGTCCTACCTAAAGCTAACATTCCTACCCCTGAGTCCAGGTCCCAATTAAAAACACACTTTGAAAACCTTTAGGAGACCTATGGGGCCTCTTTTACAGAAGCCTTTACCCCCTCTCATTCTACGAACAAATTAAAAAATATTACCTGGTCCCCTGTTGGTCCTCCAAGCTGACACTATGTTTTCATTAATACATCATTAGGGTAATGACATTGTGCTGATGTTGCTTTCGAAACAGAGCACAAACGATGAGGAGAACCAGGGCTGTACGTCTTTTGTATTCTTTATTACAGGGAAATATTTTTTAAAATGCATTATAGAAATTTCGATTTTTTAATATTTTCAATTCAAGTTCTTGATTTTGGGCATTTGAGCATGAAGTAAATACTTAAGATACCTTAAATATGTCTCAACTGCATGTTGGTTCACTAATAATTTATTTGAGCATTTACAATTACATAAGGACCAAATGTTTATCTCTTTAGAAGCTCTTAACATTACTTAATAAAATCAGTGACATGTTTTAAAAATAAGGCTTGAAACTGTGGCTTTCTTATTTTGTAGGCAATTAACTGCTACCTCATAGATAACAATGGATTTATTTTAGTATCTGAAGACTACAGACAGGTAAGTGGCAAGTTTTTCTTAACTAGTGAATATCGGACATTAGACAAGGTTTAGTTTGTTTCATTTTTGTTTGTTAAACATGGTCTCATTATTGAAACTTGAAGACAATGATCCTCATTTAAGGAATTAGTAGCATGAAATTTAAAGCTCCCTCCTTCAAAGAATGTAACTTTCCTTTGAGAGGACCTCAAAGAATTTCTAGAGCACAGTGGAGTGCTCTAAACTTATAAAATTCAAATTATAGAACTCTTTGCTGCAGAAGTGTTGGTTCCTCTTGAAGAATTTTTATCTTGAGGAAGATGGTTCCACGTGAAGTTTTTACCTCAGACTTGTAATCATGAAATCCTACACTCTAAATCTGTTGGTTCCTGAATTTCTGGTTTCTGAACTAGATTGCTGTCATTGAAGGTACAAGATTTAAACTTGGCATTCAGCACCACAATAAAGAGGAATGGGGTAAAATCAGGATTACACCAGATATTATTCAAAACATTAGATTGTGGTGACTATGGACAGATGATTGGAAAATGGAGCACTAATGCTCTATCTCTGCAGGCCTTACTCAGGAAACACTCCACATCAACTTTTGCAGGAAATTTTCATGAGCAGCAGCAGCAGGTACTGCATGGAGCAAAAATGTCCAATACAGGCTTTCATTTTTGTGTTGAACTCTGTGGAGTTGTGATCTGAAATTCCCCATACTTCTGGCTAGATCTCATCTGAATTAAATCTGATGTAGTTAAGTAGGTTTAATGGGATGTAGAACCTTAAATTCTTTCAAAGTCAGTTTTCCTCAATCTGACTGTCCCCCCTCACAAAAAAAGAATCATATTTAGCTGAGCAGACTGGTTAGTTTCATGACTGCAATTCAATAGTGGGCAGCAATGAAACTGACAAGAATCATGTTAATTCAATCAACAGCTTCCAGCACTCTTGGCACGGTTGCAGTCTCTATATGCTTAGTGCCTTAGAGTCAGAGACCCCAGGGCTTCCACATTTCTGTGCCAGCAGACTACCCAAACCGTTCAAAGTCAGCTGGCCTAGCATTCTGGAAGCTCTGGGGTGCCAACTCTGAGGCAATCATGCAAGAGGCTGCCCTGGAGCCAGGCAGGTTAGATAGCAGGAAATTAGACAGGTTTTAATGGAGAACCTTTCTAGCAGGCAGATTTTTTGAAACCTCCTTTGTTATATTGGATTCATTGAAATCAACAAGTTTCTGCAATCTTTTTCTCTTTTGACGGATCAGTGTTTTTCTGTGGGAAAAATGTTTGGAAACCTTCCAACCAGCTCTACTTCCTAACTTATTCTGACTGGATCACAAGCCAAGCACTCCCACAGGAGAATCAAGGGCACAGATGCAGAAATTGACTTTGATCCTCCCCCACAAAGGAGGCAAGGCTGATGTTCAGTGCTAGGAATGGGTGTAATGAACAAGACAATTAAGGGTCCACCATCCTGTCACTTTTCCCGATACTGGAAGGACAGGAATGAGCCTGAGAAGAGGCAGTCATTGAGTGGGCTGTGGGCAGGTTTGCAGTGTCCTCAGAAGAACTGCTTTAGGGGAGCAAAGCGAGGCATTTCTGCTGTGGCAGAACGAGTGCCATTCAGCTTGCTCATTTTCAAGGCAGGGGCACTGTAGAGATCCTCTCCTATGTGGCAGCAGATAGATTCATGCACAGCAGCATCTAAGGGCAGTGGTGAAACACTGGCAGGGCAGGAAGAAGACTCAGCAGATTGAGGGGGCCATTTAGGCCTTTAAACTCAGAAGTGAGAGAGGACTGACCTTCTCGGTGCCCTCTGGCACTCCTTCACATCCATTACACTCAAGTAAGGGCATAAACATTCAGCTTCCTGGACCATCTTTCCTTTACCAATGGGCTGATTTCTTTAAGCTCTTCCAATCCCTCTCTCTTGCAGTCCTGCGGCCACCAGCAAACCTTTCTTGTCCTTTTCTTACCAACTTGTTCCTACTGAAACAGCCTCTCCTCTCTTCCCTAATCCCATTCTGGATCCCACAGTAAACACAAATAGAAACAGAAAAGAACTACTTGTAACTTGACATTTGCTAGCCTGATCCCTTGCTTGTGTGTCATAGCCCTTGCCCTGCAACTCTCCGTCCTGTTGATTTAAATAATTTGCTCTTCAGGATGTGGTCTGTATCTGCCCATGTGTTTGTACAGCAGCCAGAAAATGGGGCCCATATCCTGCCCAGGGCTCAGATAGCACTAGTGAAGACATCACTATTGGCAAGAGCCATGGACCTTCATTCAGCCCTTGCTGCAACTTCCCAGACCTGTGTTTTATTCCCTCCCCACTAGTTGATGGGATGAGAGGTTTGCTGGCTCCTATTTCTGTCATGCCCAGCACTCTTTTGTCCCATAATCCTGCCTCTATTGTGCATGAGGAAGAGGGGCACTATTGTTTATTCTAATATCTGGGATTCTCCTTTTCTGTTACTATTCTGTTTTTGCTTCAGAAGTAGCTAGAGTAACTCCAAGGGTATGTCTATGCTGCATGCTTTTTTCTAAATAAGCCATTCTGGAATAGTTAAACTATTCTTCATCTACACTGCAGAGAAGTTTAAAATTAATTCAAGGCGGTCTTCCCTAATTCTCAATTTAAAGCCCCAGGATGCAATGGGGAGGAATAACTTAGCCCCTCACCAGGGCCATTCCATTTCAAAATAGCAGCAGTGGAGCGTCTACACACACCTTATTTCAAAATAGCTCGTAGAATGAGGTTTATGGATTTTGGAATAATCCATCCATTATTTCAAAATTATTCCAAAATAAAGGAATGTCTGTGTAGACACTTGCACTGTTATTTCGAAATAACACTAGTTATCTCGAAATAATGGTGCTGTGTAGATGCCCTGCCTCACACATGGGTGATACATTTCTTTACTTGATCTAAACTAAGCCATTCAAATGTTATAAAACCCATAAACTGGTAAACATTACGGATTTCTGTGAGGAAAAAACTAATTTTTAAAAATGTACAAAGAGTATTTTGAGTGAGAGTTGTCCTTTAAAAGCCTGAATGCCACTGCCACATGACTTGATAAATAAGATTTGCTCCTCTGTTATACCAGCATTTCCTGGTCTGTGTTTGTTTGAAGCTGTCTATTTTCCTATTTTCTTCATCCAGTGGTATTGAAACTGGTGCATTCAGTCACATAACATAAAACTGTTCTTCTTGTCCTTAGTAGGCCTATACACTCACATGTTTTGAAAAATGTCCCAGGTTTCCCCTCAGTGAAAAAGGCAATACTTCCACCTTGCTCTGTAACTTTTCTGTCTGCAAACTCCCATGTGTATAGTTGAGGTCAAGTAAGTTACTTGCAATGAAAACTAGGGTTTTAGTATTCATGTCTTTTTCCTCCCTTCCCCCAATTCTGGGATTTTCTCCTTTTAACTGTGCAGAGATCATGCCCACTCCTTCTGTGAATTGAGGCCCTGAAATAAAAATGCCAGGTCCACACAAAATAGACACTGTCCGGCACATGCATGAATCTTTATTATTCCGTATGACTAGCTGTCAGGTCCAGGCCTAATGGATAATGGGGTCTCTTCCAGGTTGTATATCAAATTCATAATAGGAATGTTTGTTTTCTCATCAGAGATTTGTCTTCATTATTCCACATCTTTTCATTTACTGAACAAAGGCAAAATGATCATTCATCAGGATGAGTGGTTTTAAGCAGGAAATGACTCTGAATGGGGTGAAAATTTATAGGATTGGTGAAATGTAATGTTCCAGCTCCATAAACAGGTCATGCAGGAATTATAAACAATGCTTTTTATGGCCATTTAGGAAATCCTTTCAAAACCAGTTTATATTTTTATGGAGTAGCATTTTAATCACAAGGGTTTGTGATCAGATTAGTTGTGTTTTCTTTACAAGCTTGAGATATGGGTGGTTTTTATTTCTGACATTAAATGTTATATAATGTACCTCAATCTATTGTATAAACTCTCCCATCTGTTCAGGGGTTTACTCTGTAATCCCCATAACTTGTCATGACTGGTAAGTCCTTTTCAATTTTTATGTAGCAATAGCTCTGAAAATCTATCTATGTAACTGTCAAAGCCACTCTTGTCAGATCTGAGGATATGTGAGTTTAAATTGTATCCACTCTTGTTGTGCATTTATCTCCACTTCTGGTCATTTATGTTCTTCCCCCTCAGACTGGGAACTTTTTTGGTGAGATCGAGGGGGCTGTGATGAACAAATTGCTAACAATGGGCTCCTTTAAAAGGTAAGAATTTTACAACCCTCTCTCTTAAAAAAAGGTTTGTATAAATAAAGTAAAATAAAACCAAGGTCAAATAAAACAAGCCTAAAGTTGACTGAGTGGCTGGATTCTGCTTATGTTCATGTTCCAGGTGATCTGAGTGTAATTTGATGCCACATGCATGGAGTATTACAAGTCTTGGAGACTTGGTCTACAATGAGTTTCCTGTTAACACAGTATAGCTTATTGACGTACGATACTGAAGACTCTGAGTCCAGTCCTGTTCCCACTGACTTCAGTGGGAGGAGAATTGGGCGCTATATACTGCAGTTTTTAAACAGATTTCTAAAGAAAGTCACAGAGGAAATAGAAAGCCATTTAACCTGCATTGAATCTGGAGGTTCTCTTCTTTAGAAAAGACAAACCAGAGAAGACAAAAGAGTCAGAGATAAAAAGGAAGTAGTTACTTCTCATTGATTTATTTTCACTCACATTTACCATCTCAGCCTTCCAAAATTGTCATGAAAATTGATGAGGCCAGGCAAAAATCTACTTACTGGGTCTTATCAACATCATAATGAAAAACAAATGCTTTTTAGGTGCCCATCAAAATAAATTATTCACTCCAAGGAAGCGGGCAAGTAGAATTTTGCAAGGACATATTAACCTTGTCTCCCTAAGTCAGTACTAGATTCTACCTGGTTTTACACAGCTCTGAATAGCCTCCCTCCATCCCTTCTCCCTTGGAACCAAGCCAATGTTCCCAATCCCTACTAACCAGTAAAACTGGCAAGCTGTACAGAGTGGGGAGAGGAGTATGCTGCACCCCTTAAAATGACTTGGGAATTTGTGGTTCCCTTGTGCACAAGTAAGCTCATTTTCTTAGGATGTATTTGCACTGCAGACAGGAAGGATCATTGCAGCATGTGTTGACATACCCCAGCTAGGTCGATAAAAGTTAGCTCAAGTAACAGTAGCGCTGAAACTAAGTAGCAGGGATAGTGACTGCTTGAATCTGTACCTAGAGTTCTGGGCATGTGGAGCTAGCCCACACTGCTACTCATCCTGCTGCGGTGTCATAGCTGTTTGACTCAAGTTCGCTTTGATTTTAAAGCGAACTTGGTTTGTCTGTAGTAGCTGCAGTCACACCTACTGTAGTCATATTCTTAGAGGCAGTATGCTTCCTGTGCTCCTGTTAGGTTGTACGGTGATGCATCATGCACAATACAGGGTTATCCCAAAATGACAAGATCTAGCACTCACTGAATAGTCCCAAATCCTAGTTTTCTTCTGCTGGCAAAGGAAGTGTGATTTGTTTACTGTTATATTTTTAACAGTTGCTATCAAATGAAGTCAGTTAATTCCTATTTACAAAATGGGTTCTGGAACAGAAGGGCAAGAAGCAATCCATTTTATTTAATTCACACTAAAAATCGGCATTCAACCCAAAGGATAATGCTTCACCTCCATCCCTTTGCTTTTCTCCTACCAAGCAGAATATTGGCATTTTAAATAGGTGATCAACCCAAACTTCAGTGATGCGGAGTTCTATGCTTGACATAAATGAAGTGAAGGGCTCCATCTAGAGTACAACTATAGCCACCTTGGAACGACTAATTGGTTCATGTTTATCTATGAAGTAACTATAAAGGATGAAACCAATATCAAATGCACTAACTAAGGGTATCTCTTCACTTCATTCCTCTCTCTTGAGAGGAATGCAAATGCAGATACCCGAAATTGCAAATGAAGCGGGGATTTAAATATCCCGTGCTTCATTTGCATAATCGCGTTATGGCACTATTTCGAAAATAGCGCTATTGTGAAGGAAAAAAAGTGTTATTTTGAGATGAAACCCTTCCCTCAAAATAACCCTTACTCCCGATTCATTTGTTGCCAGTGAATTTAAAAAATGGGTTAGACTCAAATGGGCATAATTGCAGTAAGGGGGCCACCTGCTCTGCCTGCGGGATAGCAGATAGCACAGTGTAGCAGAAAGTAAACTCACTTTCCTTGGGGTGTACAAGGCTTTAAAAAATAATCCTCCCACCAAAATGGAATGGAAACCTTTCTTGGGTTTGTAATGAACATTAATCAGACATGTGTTCCTTGTTAAAGGTTATTGTTTTCTCATTTTGCTTTTACCTTAATGTATTTTTATTTCAAATCCAGAGTGGGGGAGAAGCATGTAAGGGCTTGGAGGGCAATTCTTCATTCTGGGCACAGCATAGCATAGCATAGCAGTTGTCTTAAATATTATGTACATATTTCCTATTATTACAGTTATTATGGAGATCAGATTAGAGAGAAGGCTAACCTGTCACTATATTCTTTGGAGTTTTTCTCTGATGATTTCCAGAGCCATCCTCTTTTCCAATTTGCTGCGTATACGTTGTCTACTTTCCAGCAGTTGTGTGTGCTATAAAAACTGTCATCTGAGCTATTTGTGTTCCTCAGTGGTTTAGCTGGCAAAGTGCAGGTTTCCATGATGCCTGGACCTGCCCTGTAAAACACAAAAGGCCTGTATTGGCACCCCTGTGAAATGGGAGCCCTGAAGTTCCACTTGAACCTCGGTGCTGAGTGGCAGTACAGATTCCACCACTACTGATTCATGCTAATTATCACATTAAGGGCCCAATCCTGTAAAGGGATGAGATGACCTCTTGTGATATGCTGAGTTCCCTCAACTTCCACTCACTTCTGTTGGGATAAAGAGAGCACTCAGAACTTCTCATGATCACACTGGAAGAATTGGGCAAAGGGGTGTTATTTCCCTAAGTCCAGGTTTATTTCATCCTGTAGCTGGGTATTTCCAACATCTATCCATTTGTTGGTTGATTGTATTTTAACGTGAAACTTCAAGTGAAACTAAAAATTCTTTTTCTTAGTGCACTTTTCTTAGTGCACTTCTTAGTAGTGAACATTATGTTCAGGAAAATATACAGTCTTTTTCTTACACAAATTTTCTGTAATGTCATGGTCTGTTGATTAGTACGTCCTTCGTTATCAAATCATTGTCTACTATATATCCTGTATAATGCACAGTTCAGTATTAAAATACTGTTTAAATACATTATCACTTAAATAACGATGTACATATGAAAGGAACCTAATTGAGATCAATCCTAAAACTGCAGCTTCTATAGGTACTGAAACTATTATAATGAAAAACTGCTTCTCAATTAAAAAGATTTGCTATGAAACTCAATAAACTAGCTTTTGCAATAGTCACACCACACGGTTTGTATGGGAATAGTATGATAATTTGTTTGTTGAAAGAAAAATGTAGCATAGAACTCTAAAGAGAAAATAAAAGTCTACAGAAAAGGGATCCAAAAATTAATATGTTTATATAAAGGATGAACTGAGTAAAAATGGGAGAGAAAGCCAAAGATATAATCTACCAAAAATCCCCCCTAAATTCTTCAGTAGGATCTAAAAATAAGCAGGTTTTAAAGGCAAATATGACAGCAGTATCCTCTCCTCTTGACAGTTCTGTTTCCATCAGGCATTCTCCTGGCCCCTGCAGAAGGACATCTACTTCGGTATTTAATCATGTTATCAGGACCAAACTGGTGGACACCTGGATTCCAGCTTTCCCAGATGCTAAGGCTCACTCTAACAATTTCTTGTTGCTCTGAGAGCTCCTCTTGCTGCTCGCCTTCCTCTGCTTCTTTCATTTATCTTTCCTTATGTGCTTCCTAGTGAATAATGCATGCTCTCTGTGCTCTTAAAGTATGTTACATTCCAAGCCCCTTACCATTCTCTCTCTCTTTCGCACACACCCACACAAATATTCTCTCTCTTTTGATTGGTTTATAAATTAAGTTTAATGGAGTTCTCCAAACCTTAGACATGTTTTGCTTCCTGGACATAATACTAACTCTGCTATGAAATGGCGAAAGCTTTGCAAAGCAACATGCAAAATAGCAAAGCATTTTTGAGCCACATACTTGAAAAATAATTAGTAATAGTGGAACACAAGTAGGTCACCTCACTCCATTTCAGACATAAGTCTTCCAAAGAAGCATATTCACCTGTTCACCACAGGACGTTTTATAACATGGAACCTCTCTGACTGTGACGTTGACTGTTAATTACAGGAACTGGGAATCCTTTAGGGTACGTCTACACTACAGTGTTAATTCGAGTTAACTTAATTTGAAATAGTTAATTTGAATTAAGCTAATTTGAATTAACGCATCTACACACAAAACTTATTTCGAAATAGCATTTTGCTATTTTGAAATAGCACGTCCACACTGAGTGGACCCTGAACCGAAGTTCAGGCTAGCCAGAACCAATGTCGGCAGGGCATCAGGTTAGTACTTAGTGTGTGGGGCTGCTGCCTGAGGCTAACTGAGCTCCGTGCTTAAAGGGACCCTATCCCCACCCCGGACAGACAGTTCTCAGAGTTCCCCGCTTGCTTGTCTACCTCGATGAGACACCACAGCACTCGGCCACGTGGTGCCAGAGCTGCCCCTGGGCATGCCGGTGCGTCTCGTGGGGTCATTGCCATCAGCCCAGCTTCACTTGCTGCAGGCTGCCATCCAGGGAGTTCATCGGGGGGCTGTCAGGATCCAGGAGGCCCTGCGGGAGAGCGTCCACCCCGAGGAGCCCTCAGAGCCACCCCGGTCCTCCCCACCAGGAGCTTGTGCCCCATTCCTCCCTCACGTCCTTCCACTTACCCCTGCCTAGCTCCCCTTCCTGATGTCAAACAAAAGACATGTATGTTCAAAAATAGAACTGGGTTCATTGAACAAAACTGGGGGGGGGTGAACCTTTGGGGAGACTGGGAAAAGGAGGTGGGAGAAGGGAAGAGAGAGAGTGGGAGGGGGAGGGAGAAACCTTGGGGGAGGGAGCAGGAAGGGCGAAGCAAAGGGGAGGGGAAGCTCAGGGCCTCTCCAGAGTAGGGGAGGTCTCACCAGACCAACTTGATTTTAATGCAAACCTGCTCCTGGGTTCACATGTAGCCTTTGGTGGCCAGGCTGGCAGCTATCCTGCCATAGATGGCCGCATTCCTCTGTCTAGTGTGGAGATCATGGAAATTGGGGGCATCCCCCCCCCAAACCTGAATAAGGTCCATGATCTCCACCCTGGACCAGGAAGATGCCCACCTTCTCCAGCCCCTGTCAGGCTCCTGGGAGCTGGCAGAATGCTCCTGGGGAGTGGTGGAAGGCTGGCTGCCAGTGGCTTGCTGGCTCATGTTTTGGGGCCACTGGGTCAGGGGCCCCGGTGGCCACTGCTGGCTCTGGGCTGGCAGGCTTGGAGCTGGCACAGGCACAGTGGCCAGGGTCTACCCCTTTAATGGCTCCAGGCCTGGAGGAGAGGAGACTAAGTTTTCCTGGTTGTGCCCAGAGTGGCCACCAGGGCTCCCTGAGTAGGGCTACAGATCCCCTATTTCAAATTAAGTGTCTACACAGCACTTAATTCGAAATAGCTATTTCTAATTTGGCGTTACTACTCGTAGAATAAGTTTACCAAATTCAAATTAAGCGCTCTGCTATTTCGAATTAATCTCAAAATAGCGGTTTGCATGTATAGATGCTATTAAAGTTAATTCAAAATAATGGCTGTTATTTCAAATTAACTTTGCAGTATAGACATACCCGTAGAGAATGTGTTAAAAGATAAATGTTATATTTGGAAGTCTTGTTTTCTTTAATTTAGTTTTTAGCTTCCCACTGAATAAATTGATTGATGGATTGATTTGGTAAAGACCTTTTTAAGCAGCAATTTTTGTATCAGCACTTTGGAAGAGACTAGTGATGTGGGCAAAGAGGCAGTCAGAGGAGTTGAATGCAGCTGTTTTCACCTGTACAAATGTTTTCTTGGTCCAGAGAAAAATAGTCCTTTTTACTGATATATTTAATTGCTGCAATCTCCAGCACTGCAATATTCTGCTCCCAATGAGCATGTCAATGAAAATCTCAGATTGAATTTGGACAGGATCAGACTCTACATATACCCTAAAAGTATGTCTTAAAATATGACAAAATTAATGCAGTGAGGTGCACAGTTGAGGGCAGGGAGGGTTTTTGTTTTGTTAACAAAAATCCCTTGCAGAAGAGGCCTCATTCCTAATCAGCACATGTTCTCTAGGCATTAAAGATAGATCAGTTTCCGTGTCTTACCTAATGATGTTGCCAGAAAGAGCAACCCTGCTCTAACTGTTTGAATTTGTATTTCATGACCTGTGCTCCTGTCACTTTTTCATGGCTCTGAGGCATGCTCTCTGCCTTTCCAACACAACAGCTAAGATTCGCTGGCTCATAACTGAATTTGAGCATGGTTTAGACTTCAACTCGGAGTGAATTTTACTACCACTTTCATCCAGTATGTTAAGATATTCAGGAATATCTTTACCCAAATATAAGGCCCCAACCATGTGGGCTGAGTAAAAGAGTCCTTGTTCTGCATGCTATAAATAAATGTTGAGTTGTAGCCTTTGTAAATGTTATGCTTTGCAGCATCTTGGCAATTAGAAGCAGTTAAAAGCTAGTTCAACTCTTCTCCTACGGCACAGCCAAAGACATGTGCTGACAACTTATTTTTGTCAAAGGCATAATTTATTTTCATTTTAAATGAATTTAGTAGTGATGAAAGGTGCTGGATTGACAAGGCTGGAGACTATAATAATCAGTTTGTCTGTCCTTACACTGTCCTGCCAGTGACATATAGGGCCACCTGTAGATATGAGAGGATGGTTCACTTTCCATACTCATTAAATCCTGGCCCTTCTGCTGAGAATTCCAGGTAGAATGCCAACTGTGTTTGAGGAAGTGGACATTTGTCCATTAGTATGGGATTGAGACCCACCAATTGATTTCAGATAGGCCACTGATTCAGTCACTGTCTATCTTGTTCAGTCACTGTCTATCTTGGTGGGATTTCAACTTGCAGCCTAGAGGTTGAATTGCATGTCCCCACCTGAGTGAGTCAGTCCCCTAACTGTAATAATTTCAGAACATTTTTTTACGATGTGTTGTGCACGTTTCATCATATGGCTGAAAAATAATTTGTTGAAAAGTACCATAGTATTGTCCACTGACCCTTGGGAATCTGAGTATGCAGTACATGCATTCATTATGGGATTTTGATATAAAAAGGAGACTTGGAGCCACAAGTATTAAGCTAAAAGACAACTCAGGGTGAGAATTTTTTTTTTTTGGTTTGCTAAATTTGGAAGATGATTATGTTAATTATTCACTTTGGTACAGGGCTACTTTCATTGACAATTTCCCTGCTTCCCTTTGTTGCCCTTTCTCCTTTCTTATAGAATCGGGACTTGCACAACTTACAAGACAGAGCATATTAAACTTGTTATTCATATAAATTCATATAAATTCTATATATCACAAAAATATCTTTGCTACTATAGTTATACATAAGACTATTTGACATTCATAAGTAGAAATAAAAAACATGCCGAAGATCTAGCATAAAGTAATTCTGTACATTTGTTAGTATAACCTGTGTTGCAGAATGTGATAGCATGTATATCCCCTGCACTGGTTCTGAAGTGGTTAAAGGACAGATCTGGGCCCTGAAAAACAACCTAGCCACACCTGCAAAGTTTGCTCCAGATGGAGATGGATCTTCAAAGGAAGCCAGACCATTCAGAAAGAGGCTGACAACGTAGAGAGAAAAACACACCATGGGAGGTCCTAAGAAGGGATTCTGCTGCAGCTCTTCTAGGAAAAGGGGAGCCTATCTGGTAGGCCTATACAGCTGAATGGTGCAGTTGATAGCTTTTCTTCAGCACCTGTTGCTACAGATGGCAAAGCCTGAACTATAGAATGGGGGAGGGAAGGTAGGACAAGGCCCAGAGAGGGCAACTGTATGGCACTCTTAGGTATCTGGCCTTCGGGTGATCCTCCCTGGGCCCTGGATGCAGGCCTGTAGAGGGAAGGGTCTAGGCTCCCCTCCCAAGCACTCTCTGCATGAAGGAGAAACTTACTCCCTAACCATGAGGTGATGCTTCCATCACGTGTCAACCATGACTACTTGGTGGAGAATGTGAGCATTCATTCTTGGTTTGCTGTAAGACCTGAAGGAGGAGAAGAACTAGAAGGGAAGAAAAAAAAAAGAGGTGGAGAGGAAAAAGAAAAATGATCCTCAAAAAATGTTTTGAAGTAGCCGATGGACTTCCAACAACGATAACAGCAGCAGAACCAAGTATTCCAACATATGACAATAACAGCAATAATTAACAATAACAGCTAATCCAGGAACAGATGACACAACAGCAAGAAGAGCAACAAAGCTTGCTTCAATAGGTGATGGCAATTTTACAACCTCAGGGATCAAGCACAAACATGGAAGCTTGTATCTTGAGCCCCACCACACTTAAAAATCTTCT